TATGTGCCCTGAACTGTGCCGTGCTGTACCCTATACTAATACTCCACTAGTGTGTGGTAGTGACTGAAGCAGTATTTGAGGCAGAGACCAGGTTGGCCAGGACAGGAGGGACAAAAAAAGTGAGTGTCGTGCCTAATTCCATGTCTACCACAGACACATCTTTTTTGGAGTGTCCTTTGGGTTGGGGTACCAGGAATGGCATTGGGAAAATGACTCTCATGCAGCTGGCTAACTGCATCTGGGTTGAGGGTTTGGGCCACAGCACCTTCTGGATACAAAAGGGCCGTGATGATCTCCTCCTGGAATTTTAGGAAGGATCCACTTCATCCAGTTGCTTTGTAAAGCACAAAAGCATTATATAGAGCCAATTGAAATAAATAAACAGACACTTTTTTTGTACCAGTGTCTGGCTTTACGGGAAACTAAGTACGGCTTCATCATCTGGTCGTTGAAGTCCACCCCTCCCATGTTAAGGTTATAGTCGTGGACTCAGAGAGACTTCTTAACAACACCAGCTACTCTGGAAATTTGGATGGTCGTGTCTGCGTGAATGGAACACAGGACGAAAACACCCATTTGTCCTTTCACTTCACTGCAATCAATTCCTCATTTCTCAAGCAGGCTTTTTCCCCCATTCTAAGATGGGTATTTACAAGCCATTGGGGAAGCCCCAGCGATTATGTCGCATGGTGCCACATGCGCCAATTCCAAGATTGTACAAATGTCTAAATAGTGGCACGCTTGAATAAAAATTGTCCACGCATAAGTGGTACCCCATATGGAAGAAGGATGACACCAAGTCCCAAACTATCTTGCCACTGCTCCCCATGTAGTCTGGGCATCCGGGGGGGCTCCACATGACTAACTTTTCTCTCGTATATCTGAATCTTATATGTATAACCCATTGCCCTCTCACAGGTCTTATACACCTTGAACCCATATCTGGCACGCTTGCTGAGTAGAAATAGTTTGAATGCAAGGCGGCCAGAAAAATTAATGAGGGTCTCATCAATGCAGATGTTTTGCTGGGGAGTATAGACATCTGCAAATTTTTGGTTAAGGTGATTTATGAGAGGGCCGAATTTTGTGGAGCTGGTCAAATTCAGGGTCACCCTGAGGACGATAGAGTGTGTTGTTGAAATGCATAAAACACATTATACTCTCATGTCTATACCTGGCCATGGCAGCAGAGAACACGGCATATGATGAATCGGGTCTATGGACAAATACAACCGCAATTAATTTTTTTTTAGTAATGTCCATGTTGAGGGTTAGGTCCAAAAAAACTTTAAATTCAAAAACCGTAATGGGTTTCCATGCAAATGGTCTGGCAAGGTTTGAATTTGGGTTGGCGGCGATAAACTGTTATGCATATAAATTGCTTTGATCCACAATCAATGCATACAGATCTTCCGTGAAAAACAGCTCTAAAAAATCAAGGGGAGTATTTAAATTGGCTGTTTCCACCTGAATTCTGGGTAGGGCAGTGAATGGGGGAAGTATGGGTGCTGAAGAATTTGTGGGTTGCAGATCGGGATTTGCAAGCATGTCCAGAAGGATACTGGGCTCTACGGGCCTGTGTACGAATTCTTGGTGGCTGTGGGACACTAATTGTGCTCGCCACCGCACCAGCTTGTACTGCACTTATGGGACTTGCCACATCACCAAGTGATACTGCAGTGCTGATTTGTGAAAGACCAGGATGTTCTAGGCCACTGGTGGTCGCCAGTTCACCAAACGCTAGAGCGACACTAGTACTCTGCTGCATATGAGAGTCATCATGCTATTGTAATATCTCAGCAACCTGGAAACAGGATTGGGTACGCCTGATCTTAGCAGGGACCTCTTCTCCATTGTCTGAGCTATCTGTCAGGTTGCCGCTGCTGTCTACAGGTTCGTATTTTGAGGCTGATTGTGTCAGTGAGTCTTGCCCTTCCCTCTCACCTGACATGGTCAGAATCCTGTAGGCCTCTTCACTAGAGTACCTTTCCATTGACATTTTGGACACTAAATTTATAGGCACCTAGTGTGATTCACGGGAAAAAGAGTGCCTGGCTGTCAGGGACTGCTTGAACAGCTAGCTACAAAAAAATTTACTGGCAAGTGCTAACAGAGATCAGGCCAAATTCTGCAAACACTGCGGTTTTCCATGTAATGTATCATGTGACAGTGATCTACTGACATTGCAGTTGCTGGGGGAGTAGGGGGGGGGGGGTAAGCGTAGGTTTTTAAATGCAGGTGCTGGCAGGTGCCGGGGCTGATCCTGCTAACGCTGCATTTTTGGGGACACTATACTAATGTGAACGCTGGTATAGTGCGGATGTGCCAAAAGATATTGATCCGTTCAGACACTATACTAGCAATGGAGGTTTACTGTGTATGAGCATGTTCCTGGCAATCAAGGGGTTAAATGTGATTACTGGCGTACTGACAGGCAATCTGATGCTATCTGAGAGGGACGCTAACTGACACTGACTGATGCTAATGCTATCTGAAGTCACCGGAGACACTAATACAGTGTTCAGCAAAAAAACTGTACACTGTACTAATGACACTGGTGACAAGGCAGTAAAGGGGTTAACGGGGGGGGGGGGGGCAATCAAAGGGTTAAATGTGTCCTAAAGTGTTCTAACTGTGAAAAGTATGCTGCTTTTACTCACTGTGCCTTGATTCTTCTCTCTCTGGGACAGAATGTGCCCAGAAAGAGAAGATGTCATCACTTCCTGTACCTGTGTAAGTGTAAACACAGGTACAGGAAGATCCCTGATAGGACAGGGATCGATCATCTGACTTAGACCAAGCATCACTGGCCTAAATCGGACGATTAATCCCTTGGGGATCAAATCACGGTACCAGCAGGTCGGCGGGGGCATGCGCGCGCCCCCCTGGCCCACGAAAAACAAGGGAGCACAAATCACATATATACAGGATTTTGCACACCCGTGCAGCCCTGTAGCAGTATTTCTGCTATAGGGCGGCGCGGAAGCGGTTAAAGTCTTGTGCAGTAGTCAATATTGTTATTATTAATAATATACATGATTTATATAGCGCCAACAGTTTGCGCAGTGCTTTACAAAATGAAGGTAGACATGACAGTTACAATACTATTTGGTACAAGAGGAAACAGAGGGCCCTGCTCGTGTGCATGGGTGAGGGTGACCCCATAAACACCTGCCCTTGTCCCCCAATCACCCCCATGACAGAGAGTGGAGGGATCTTTCCCCCCACTCGCTGTCACAATTTAAAACAAGTGGAGCCATGCGGAGCTCCATCCACACAGCCGCATCATTCATTCACAGAATTCTGTGAATGAATGAACAACAACTACAGTCTTACACTGTGGCACTTCTGTCAGTAACTGTCTGCACATTTGGGAGGTATGGGCAGACAGCTGTACTGACTGCAGTAGTCTGGCATGGAACCCATGATCTACTGATTGCGGGTGCAATGCTTTCCCAGCTGCAGTGTAAAAAAAAAAGTTTAAAGTCGTTTGAGTTACATTTATAGGGTGTGCACAGGAACTCTAACAACTATGTTATCATATAAAATGTTCTGATTCTCATTATTGTACTTGTTTTTTTTTAGACTTATAGACTACTTCTTTACACTAAGTCACTGTCAGGGCTCCCAGGTATGACCAGAGATGTGTAACTGACGCAGGGAAACGCAGACTTCAGATATGGGAAAACAATATAATTTATTAACACTAACAATACAAACATAAACGCAGTGCAATACTAAACATAATACAGTGCAAACAAACCAAACCAACCACCCACAGATAACAGTACATACAAGCAAGCATCGTCAGGCAGGCCGGGTCAATATCAATTGGGCAGGTAGGTACAGGGGGAGCAAGCGGAGAATGGTCGGGGTCACAGGCCAGGTTCAGCAGGTAGCAAGCAGCGTAGTACAGAGGGTCAAGCAGAGGGATGGTCAGGGTCACAAGCCAGGGATCAGAACAGGTAGCAAGCAGCGTAGTACAGAGGGTCAGGCAGAGGGATGATCAGGGTCACAAGCCAGGGATCAGGACAGGTAGCAAACAGCGTAGTACAGAGGGTCAGCAAAGGAACAGAAACAGGATGCAGGACAGATACAGGGCCCAGGACAAACACACACCAAGGCAGAGTCTGTGGGTCTGGCCATCCCTTAAATACCCCAGCATAATCAGTTCCAGGTGTTAGCTGGCTGCAAAGTTGAGTCTCTGATTGCTGGGAGCACCCGCTGGCCAGCCCTGGTACTGCAGATCAAAAGGCAGGTGAGTCCCACCATTGCTGGCCAGTCCATTCCTGACAGTACCCCCCCCCTCAAGGAGCGGCCTCAGGACGCTCCAAACAGTCCTAGCTGGGAAAAATGTTCCACCGCCCGGGTCTGGTAACTGGCGGGATATCAAAGACTGGCACACCTGGCAGGACTCCGGCAGCGGTACACCAGGCAGAGGCACATCGGGCTGGACACCGGGCAGAGGCACATTGGGCTGGACACCGGGCAGAGGCAATTGGGCTGGACTCCGGGCAGAAGCACATCGGGCAGAGGCACACCGGGCTGGACTCCGGGCAGAGGCACACCGGGCAGAGGCACATCGGGCAGAGGGCACATCGGGCTGGACTCCGGGCAGAGGCACATCGGGCTGGACTCCGGGCAGAGGCACATCGGGCTGGACTCCGGGCAGAGGCACATCGGGCAGGACTCCGGGCAGAGGCACATCGGGCAGGACTCCGGGCAGAGGCACATCGGGCAGGACTCCGGGCAGAGGCACATCGGGCAGGACTCCGGGCAGAGGCACATCGGGCTGGACTCCGGGCAGAGGCACATCGGGCTGGACTCCGGGCAGAGGCACATCGGGCTGGACTCCGGGCAGAGGCACATCGGGCTGGACTCCGGGCAGAGGCACATCAGATTACCAGGCGAAGCAGCAGGCAGCGGGTCACCGGGCGGGGCAGCAGCAGGCACCGGGCCCCCGGGCGGAGCAGCAGGCACCGAGCCCCCGGGCGGAGCAGCAGGCAGCAGGCAGCGGGTCACCGGGCGGAGCAGCAGGCACCGGGCCCCCGGGCGGAGCAGCAGGCACCGGGCCCCCCGGGCGGAGCAGCAGGCATGGCCCGGGCCCCCGGGCGGAGCAGCAGGCACCGGGCCCCCGGGTGGGGCGACCGGCATCGGGCCCCCAGGTGGGGCGACCGGCATCGGGCCCCCAGGCGGAGCGGCGGGCACCGGGCCCCCAGGAGGGGCGACAGGCATCGGGCCCCCAGGAGGGGCGACAGGCATCGGGCCCCCAGGCGGGGCAACCGGCATCGGGCCCCCAGGCGGGGCGACCGGCATCGGGCCCCCAGGCGGAGCGGGCGGGCGCCGGGCCCCCAGGAGGGGCGACAGGCATCGGGCCCCCAGGAGGGGCGACAGGCATCGGGCCCCCAGGCGGGGCGACAAGCATCGGGCCCCCAGGCGGGGCGACAGGCATCGGGCCCCCAGGTGGGTGCGACAGGTCTCGGGCCCTCAGGCGGAGCGGCGGGCGCGGGCGGGACCCCCAGGTGGAGCGACAGGTCTCGGGCCCTCAGGCGGAGCGGCGGGCGCCGGACCCCCAGGTGGAGCGACAGGTCTCGGGCCCTCAGGCGGAGCGCGGCGGGTGCCGGACCCCCAGGTGGAGCGACAGGTCTCGGGCCCCCAGGCGGAGCGACAGGTCTCGGGCCCCTCAGGCGGAGCGGCGGGCGCCGGACCCCCAGGCAGAGCGACAGGTCTCGGGCCCCCAGGTGGAGCGACAGGTCTCGGGCCCTCAGGCGGAGCGGCGGGCGCCGGACCCCCAGATGGAGCGACAAGTCTCGGGCCCTCAGGCGGAGCGGCGGGCTCCGGACCCCCAGGTGGAGCGACAGGTCTCGGGCCCTCAGGCGGAGCAGCGGCGGGCGCCGGACCCCCAGGTGGAGCGACGGGTCTCGGGCCCTCAGGCGGAGCGGCGGGCGCCGGACCCCCAAGTGGAGCGACAGGTCTCGGGCCCCCCAGGCGGAGCGACAGGTCTCGGGCCCTCAGGCGGAGCGGCGGGCGCCGGACCCCCAGGTGGAGCGACAGGTCTCGGGCCCCCAGGCGGAGCGACAGGTCTCGGGCCCCCAGGCGGAGCGGCGGGCGCCGGACCCCCAGATGGAGCGACAGGTCTCGGGCCCTCAGGCGGAGCGGCGGGCGCCGGACCCCCAGGTGGAGCGACAGGTCTCGGGCCCTCAGGCGGAGCGGCAGGCGCCGGACCCCCAGGTGGAGCGACAGGTCTCGGGCCCTCAGGCAGAGCGGCGGGCGCCGAGTCATCTGGCACGACAGTGGGCTCCAAGTCAACTGGCATGACCGCTGGCACTGGGTCAGACATTGGATCGTCTGACTGGACAGCGGGCATCGGGTCACCAGGCATCAGGCATTTGGCTCAACAGCGGGCACCGCGTCATCTGGCAAGGCAGTGGGCTCCGAATCAACAGGCACGACAGTGGGCACCGGGTCATCAGGTACCGGATTGTCTGGCTCGACAGCGGGCACTGGGTCACCAGGCATCAGGTCATTTGGCTTGCCAGCGGGCACCGCGTCATCTGGCAAGGCAGTGGGCACCGGGTCACCAGGCATTGGATCGTCTGGCTCGACAGCGGGCATCGGGTCACCAGGTATGACAGCGGGCACTGGGTCACCAGGCATCAGGTCATTTGGCTCGCCAGCGGGGCACCGCGTCATCTGGCAAGGCAGTGGGCACCGAGTCACCAGTCACCAGGTACGACAGCGGGCTCTGAGTCAATTGGCACGACAGCGAGCACCGGATCATCTGGATCAACAGCGGGCATCGAGTCAACTGGCCTAATAGGATCATCAGGCTGGATCAGTTCATCATGCTGGGTAGAGGGCATCAGGCTGAATGCCGGCGTCCGGCTGAGTAGAGGCTTCAGGCCGAGTAGTAGAGGCTTCAGGCCGAGTAGAGGCATCAGGCCGAGTAGAGGATTCAGGCCGAGTAGAGGATTCAGGCCGAGTAGAGGCTTCAGGCTGAGTAGAGGCTTCAGGCTGAACCACGGAAGGCAGGCTCACCGGTTTGGATACTGGCAGGATGGTATTGGTTGGAAAGAATTTTCGCTTTTTTCTGGTTTTAACTACTGGAGCACTGCAAGTAAACGCAGGTCTGCAAACAGCTGGAGACAGAGAAGAACTGGAGGATGGAACAGGAGAGGGAGCAGTTGCTACAGAGGGCTTTTTTACAGGGTTAAAGGCAGGATAGGTGCAGCGAGTGGGAAACAGGGTACTGACATGCGGTAGATAGCCAAGTATACTGGGCTGTAACTGGAGGAGCTGTTGGGAATACAGGAGAAGAGTTAGAAGCAGGACTGGGTTTTTGTAAGCTGACTGAGGCTGGGTGCAACAAGTCTGTCCATGTCTGCAGTAGGGGTTGAACAAAGCTGAGCTTACACAAAGCCTGTCTGGTCAATGACTGCACTGCGTTTATACAAACTCTTAGTGTCTGTGGTGAACATGTGGAATAACGCTCCAGAAAGTAACCCACATCATCCTCTAATAACCACACCAGGGACTCTACCTGGTCTGCACTAAATGGTGGCAAAAATTCATCCCTGCATTTCGGGGGAACCAGATGAAACCAACTCTGCACAAACCTCAATCAAAAGCTGCACCTCAGAGAACTCTGTGCCCTGATCTACTAGAACATGAGCGAGCCGTATACATTCTAGCAGTTCATCCCGGGGATACTCCTTCAGAGTTTGATAAGCATACTCCCCTGTCATCAAACACTAGCAGAGATAAATACTCAACCTCATCCAGATCCATCCTTCCCATCAACAAACCAAGATGGCTTCCCTGTGCAGTCACTTCTGGTCAGGATTGGCCTTGGTGTAATGTCAGGGCTCCCAGGTATGACCAGAGATGTGTGACTGACGCAGGGAAACGCAGACTTCAGATATGGGGATAAACAATATAATTTATTAACACTAACAATACAAACATAAACGCAGTGCAATACTAAACATAATACAGTGCAAACAAACCAAACCAACCACCCACAGATAACAGTACATACAAGCAAGCGTCGTCAGGCAGGCCGGGTCAATATCAATTGGGCAGGTAGGTACAGGGGGAGCAAGCGGAGAAATGGTCGGGGTCACAGGCCAGGTTCAGCAGGTAGCAAGCAGCGTAGTACAGAGGGTCAAGCAGAGGGATGGTCAGGGTCACAAGCCAGGGATCAGAACAGGTAGCAAGCAGCGTAGTACAGAGGGTCAGGCAGAGGGATGGTCAGGGTCACAAGCCAGGGATCAGGACAGGTAGCAAGCAGCGTAGTACAGAGGGTCAGCAAAGGAACAGAAACAGGATGCAGGACAGATACAGGGCCCAGGACAAACACACACCAAGGCAGAGTCTGTGGGTCTGGCCATCCCTTAAATACCCCAGCATAATCAGTTCCAGGTGTTAGCTGGCTGCAAAGTTGAGTCTCTGATTGCTGGGAGCACCCGCTGGCCAGCCCTGGTACTGCAGATCAAAAGGCAGGTGAGTCCCACCATTGCTGGCCAGTCCATTCCTGACAGTCACTGAGATCTTAGATCTGATAAATGAAAAATACTGTGTAGCTACTGAGGACAATGTAGTTCGGTGGAAAACTTAGGTTAAAATTTCTTGTCCACAATCTCAGACAGAGGTCACTGAAAGGGCCCATCAAAATTTTGCTATGGGGCCTCATGATCTGTAAGTATGCCTCTGCAAGGAAACATGCAAGTAAAAATACATTTTATTAAAATAAACTATTTCGGCACTTATTAAACCTTGACTAATACTATTCAGACTTAATTTACCACCTCCACCTTTTCTCTATTAAATCGGATCTTCACTCTGGAAAAAAAAAAAAAAGTCAGCAGCTTCAAATCCTGTAGCTACTAAAGTTTAATAAAAGAACATTTACCTGTCCAGGGATCCAGCACCGTCCTCACCGAAACTAGTTCTTCACTAGCCTTTGGGTTCCTGGTTCATCTTAACTATGAGCAGCCAGCTATGCTGCTTTCAGCTTTTTAGCTAATTCTTGCCTTCATCCTTTGTGTTAAAGAGACTTTACTTAAATTCAACATCACCCAAAGGGGAACTTTCTGTGATTATATCATCTTACACAAGGAAGGATCTGGACCTTAATGTGCACCAACTAGGACTCCATCAAGCGCGCAGAAGATTTGACACCTTTACTTAAAGAGATACAAAAAGAGGACACTATTGCTTATAACAATATTATTCATCTCAGAGTTAAACCCAGTTTCCAGCAACTGAGAACCCAAAAGTGAGTTAGCCTGACAGCATGATAGTTCACTCCAGACCCCTTGGGGAGAGATATCTCAGAAGCTGGAATTGATGCTTAAATTCTAATCTTGCAGGACATTTGAAGTTGCTTAAAGTGATTCTGTGTTTTATTACTTTGTTGAAATTTTCAGAGTGTTTAACTTTTTAAGCACATCTGCTGTCATTCTTGTGCTTGCATTCGTTATAGCCTGACCTCAATATAACCAGAATATTTTCTCACCTTAAACTGTGTGTGTTTATTTTATGGTTCAAAGCCAGGGAGTTCTCCTGGTCATGGTGGTGTCAGCAGGGGCTGAGCTTCAAAGCAGGCTCGTGACAGACAGGGAAACCAAAAATACTCAGCAGCCCTCAAGATGGTAGCGCTACACATGTATATCAAAACACATTTAATGGTATATTTATCAGACCAAAAGGGAGCATAAGTTTATTGTTAGGGTTCACATACACGTTCAGTCTGACATAGATTTATTTTACTATTTCAGAAATATTTGGGGTTTTTGGAAGAGTTATCTATACATTTAGTAGACATTGAGTCACCCATTTAGATAGCATTTTGAATGAAATGATGTGCATTTACAGGGATACGTGACATAATAATAAGAAATTATCTTGGGATTGAGGTTGACTCATTTGTAACAATCTTTATGCAATGACTATTGTATTCAAATATGTTCTGGATTCTGTTGATGTATCCACCTGTACTGGCAATGGCATAAGGCAAATAATTAGGGGACAGCTGATGTGTCATACTAGTGAGTATCAAGTTGCATTAAAACTTTGGATTCTTTTTTTTTATCTTCCATGTCATAATCCATCAGGGTGGATGTCCTCTTGCGCCTACATCAAGTTCATCTCGTATGAAAAATTTTTCAGGTTTAGAGAAAGAATGTACTAGGTTGTAATCAGTTTCAGTTACTTAATGCAGAAGTATGAAGAATATCTAAAATGGTACTTTTTTACCCAGTTCAGTTGATTTGTTTATTGACTTTTGTGGAGCTGGGGTGTGTTTGCAGGGCTGGCAAGAACCACCAAATCTGCAGCATATGGCCAGCGATATAGACATAACTCCCTTGCTTGGCTTTGCAAACAGCTGTGGAGGAATGGTTGAGGGTTATAAAAGTGGATTTCTCACAAATCTTTTAATGGAACAAAATTCTAACAAGTTCCAATATACAGCAACAGTAAATAATTATGTAATTATTTAAAAAAACTGTCTCTTTACTCATTAAAATTCAGTCCCTGAGATCCTATAAATCACTTTGCTTGCCTGGGTTTAGTGTATATCCTCACTCCACTATAAGTCTAATTCATAAAAATGTGCCAGATGACAAGTAGAAATCAATGGTGGTGATCCGTGAAGAAAAGCAGAAATGTGCAGTCACCAGAAAACAGATATAAGTAAGCAGTATGCATCAAAGCTCATGGATCCTCAATCAAGGAGAAAACTGGTCTTGTTGTACAAGAACTACATTTGGACTTAAATGGTGTCATGGTTGTGGTCCAGTTGTGATTTTTCTATGAATACTACACTATGGGCATCCTTCCTTGACTCCCTGAGAGGGAGTACCTTTTTGCAGAGTCCTTTACTGAGAATTCAGGCTTTTACCAAGAGGAGGAAGACCCCCTGTAAGTAGGTGACCCCTTCCGTCCATCCAGCTGTAGGAGACCTCTGGCTACCTGGATCTTTTTTGGATAAGCTTTGCATCTTTAAGGGAGGATCAACCCATTTTGACCAGACCAGTTTTTTCTCCTTGATTGAGGATCCATGAGCTTTGATGCATACTGCTTACTTATATCTGTCTTCTGGTGAGTGCGCATTTTCTGCTTTTCTTCACGGATCACCTTCATTGATTTCTACTTGTCATCTAGCACGTTTTTATGAATTAGACTTATAGTGGACATTTTTCAGACTTTATTTATTTAGCGCTGCACTTTTGTTGTTATTACTCTGTTTAAGTATATATTGGTTACTTAGAGTGCTTAGCTGCTTTTTCAGATTAGCACTCATTCTTTTATTATATACATAGGGCTGATCTGTGTCAGACATTCCTAAACACAGTTGGAAACCAAACATACATCAGATCTCCTGTACATGACTGATCTGTATGAACCAGCAAATCAATTAAGAAAGTAGATGCTGACCCTAGATGGTGCCTGCACAAAGATGGCTTCATTCTTCTAGAGAAAAAAAGCAGATGAAGTCTTTGGAGGAATACTGTGATCTTTGTGAGAGGTAATAAATATGTGTAAGTGTTCCACCTATGCACTCTGGTTTTCAAAAAATCTATTGAAGTACATGCTCTTAGCTCAAAAAGAACCTTCTCTTGCTATCAGCCTCCTTCAAATCTCCAAATTCCTTTTTTTTTTGCTGTTGGAATCTTGTAGGAAGGTGCAGTCTGCTTCCTCCACTGTAGGTGACACCTGACTGGAGCATATCACAGTATGGATAGGAAGTCAGGAGAGACTCAGATTCTCTGTGGTTCCCTGGTTCTTGGAGGCAGCATTCAGGTTGGCCTTCGGCAGCCATCTTTGGGTCAGCAGAGTCTTTTTAGGTCCCTGTCCCGGTATTTGGCATGCATTTTGCGAAGTGGCTATAGTAGGGAAAGAGAAGATCCACCTGTCAGGGAATATGATAGCAGCAGGGAAAGGTTCCAGATGAATAGGGACAGGCTGGATACACTCAATCCTGTACTGTAGCCTCCCCTTTGGGACCTGACCAGCCAAGCCGCATTCTGCTCTCTGAAGAGAGATGCTATTGGTGCATCTTTACCTGCTGCATCTCTGCCTTAAACTGAACTGTGAATGTTACCCTTCTCAGCACTCTCCCGCTGGGGTTGTTTGTAGTTGACATTTTCCGCAATATAATTTCTGAGTTTATCTGCAACCAATCTCAGTGTCCTTACTGCCACCACACTCCACTGCACATACCAGCACTCTGACTTCCTGTTAGAGGGTGGCTACGTTCATTCTCCTTCGTCCTACTGTATGTAAGAATGTAGCCACTCTTTCTTGCTACCTCCTAAAATGACCAATGGATTATGGACTTTGGGATGTGTAGTGTGCATAGATCACAACTAACATGAACACTGAACAAAGGAGAGATTCGAGA